TTGTCCCTATCGCAGCCTCCGAGGTGGAGCCCCTCTGGATGTGTGCACTTTACTGTTAGCTTAACATTCACCAGCTGCCAAGTTCTGGGCATAGAGCTGCTCTCTTTGCCCTAGAGGCTGGTTCTCTCCTCATGCTCTGTCCTAGCACCTGAGGCAATCAGAGGGAGCTAAGCCACCCGTAAAGGCAGCCAGCTGTGCTTGCGAGGGCTGACATCCCTGTGTGCTGAGGATGTCATACGGGAGCCTACAGGCATGGCCTGTGTTAAGGCATTTGTCAGGGGCTTTAGAGAGGACTGATGCATGTATCAGTCTTTCTTTTTGTCAGAGCAATGACTAAAATCTGTCTTAAAGCTGCTGCTAAGACTTGTGTTTGGGCAGAGACAATTTTAGCAGATGGGGGGGGGAAGTTCTGCTTCACTGAACAGGACTCATGAAGCAAGAGACACCTGTCTTTAAAAAAATTACTGATACAAAGCTGTACTGCTGACAGCAAAGTAGGATGCAGGTGTATCTAGCAAGAAATTTTAGGGTTATTCTCAGGTTTGATCATGGTGGAACAAATGTCCTAATACAGAGCAGCCAACCCGCTCGTAGGGTTTAGCATTTGCAGACTGCAACTGTTGGATTGTTTTATCTGTTCAGACTTTGGAAATCCTTTACTCTGTGTCTGTCCTGACACATGATTAAACTTTTAGTTATAAGACCTGCAAAACAGCTGGTGTCTCATACAAGTGGGCTCTGCCTTTGCCAACCATGGTGAGTTGACATCCCATAGCAAGAGTCCAAACAAACCAAAAAGAAAGGTTTACGATTCAGTGGCAGCTTTAATTATTAAGATTGGGGAAAAAAATCTGCAGCTAGAGATTTTACCACTTGTAATTTCTTTAAGACAAATTGCTACAGGAGGCAGATTTTCTATATTTGTTCTGTTTTGTCTCTCTTGGGGTCCCAGTCCTCTGTGATGAGAGCAAACATCTTTGCTTTGTGCTCACAGAAGGACTCAGTCTTTCTTTGTAAGCTGGATGAAGATGGAGTCTTAATACTAGTTACTGAAAACAGATGGATCGGAGGCTAGTGGGGGGGGTTGGTTTGTTTGTTTTGTAAACTTAGAAACTATAAAAATATGTATTTTCCTCATCTGAAGCTTGTCCAGGGATTTACAGAAGAGCAAAACTGCTTTGAGTGGAAGGAAATCTGCAAAAGATGGCCTGAAGCAGGAGCCCGTGGCACCTTTGTGGGTAGGTAGGATATATTGCTCATAGCAAAGTGTGTTGACTTGTCTGATACCGACTTTGTAGCACCTCAAGTATCCAGATGTTCCTGAGTCCTCACTGTTTGCCTGTTTATTTTATATCAGAAATGAGTTCAGTGCTAATCAGGGTGTGCTTGCTTTATCCATGCAGGTAATATAGCACACAGCCTCCTTTAATTGGTCATGGCAAGATGAAGAATAAACTGTAAGAATTCTTCATTTGCTCCTCAGAGACCATAGGGTCAGATATGTTTTACAGTGTTCCTTGGAGCTTAGACTTGGGCTGTCTGGAAAAAGGGAGATCGTTTTCAGAGCAGGGGAGTTCTCACAGTGAATATCTGCCTCCATGGCAGGTGCAACACTGCGGAAGCAACAGGGTATATATAGACAAAAAAAATAAAATCTTCATTTCCAGACAGAGAGAGGCAGGGTACCTGCTTCCCAGATCATGTAGCAGTGTCCTAATTGTAAGCCTCTATTTTAGTCTGCATCTTTTGTCTCCTCTGTACAGAGAAGGCGGGAAATCATGTTAGAGGAAGTGCCCACTAGCCTGCCACAGTGCTCAGACTAGTATATATATTTCTGGTTTTGGAAGCTATCTTATGGGGGCTGAGAAAAATTACAGTAGAGAATTGGGATGATGTGACCTATTCCACTGTGAATCTTTTAGTTTTCCTTGTGTCTGGTGAAAGAATAGAAATCTTGCAAAGTTACGCAGGAGGGAAGAAAAGTCCTTGATACCATGTGCATTACCTTGGCTTTTTTCCTTGCTTTCGTTTGTCCTGGATTACATGGCAGAAGTGTGGATTTTTCTTTTATAGAAGCAGTTGAAGTGAAGAACATGAGCTTGCAAATTTGAGGAAGGAAATTTTCAAAACTTGACTGGGCGAAGCCCTGAGAAAACTTGTCTATGAGGTTAGCTGTTCTTCAAGCAGGCAGTAGGACCAGGTGACCTCCAGAGGTCCCTTTCAACGTATGCTTCCCTGTAGTTTCTGACTCTTTCCATCAGAAAAGACAGGAAAGCATTTCTGTGAGGAGGCAGGAATATCCAGGCAGATGTGTCTATCAGTGCATAAAAGCAGGGAATATGAAATAAATAAATATGTAGATTAAAGACTTCACCTTGAACCAATGGTAAGAGATCTGAATCTGCAGTCTAAAGAGGTCAGTTGGGAGTCAGATAGTATCACTGAAGTGCTGGGTTGGACAGAGTAAACTCTTAAAAGTTGTCTTGTACAAATAAATGTTGTTATCTTGTATGAGCACCCGATGCGGAAAGTCTTTGTAGATTCTTTTAACTACAAGTTGCCAAAAATACTTGAAGAACAGATTTTTTTTCATAGGTGAAAGATCTGGCTGGAGAATGTAGAGGTCAGTATCTCTGCAGAAGTAAGCTTTTCTTGTGGTCCACTCTTTACCTAAGTAATTTTGTGAATACATTGTTTCCTGGAAGCAGTGTGTCTCCAGTGAATCTGAAATAAATAGAGGTTCCTGTAAAGGGCATTTTGCCTCTGTGGTTCTACTGTCTGTTATAAATCAATCCAAATATACTGGTGCACGTACCATAGAGGAGATGGAATTTCCTGGCTGGAGCTCAGAGTTAGTGCTTCAGCATAAGCTTTGTCTGGTAGAACTAATTTTAAAAACCACTAAAATGCAACCATCGCTGTGGTGGAATGTAGTGGTTATTTGAAAGTGACTTTTGTAATTGAAAAAGGCACAAAGGAAAGAAGTAAAAGTCAGGAGGTGGAATTTCAGCATAGAATGATAGAATATCCTGAGTTGGAAGGGACCTATAAGGATCATCGAGTCCAACTCCTGGCTCCACACAGGACCAGCCGAATCAGAGCATATGACTGAGAGCGTTGTCCAGATGCTTCTTGAACTCAGTCAAGCTCGGTGCTGTGACCACTTCCATGGGGAGCCTGTTCCAGTGCCCGACCACCCTCTCGGTGAAGAACCTTTTCCTGATATCCAACCTAAACCTCCCCCGTCGCAGCTTCATTCCGTTCCCTCAGGTTCTATCACTGGTCACCAGAGGGAGGAGATCAGCGCCTGCCCCTTCGCTCCCCCTCGTGAGGAAGCTGTAGGCCGCGATGAGGTCTCCCCTCAGTCTCCTCTTCTCTAGGCTGAACAAACCAAGGCACTTCAGCCTCTCTTCATATGTCTTCCCCTCTAGACCCTTCACCATCTTTGTTGCC